TCCGAGGCGATGGCTGCAGCGATGGTGCCCTGTGACAAGGCGCTCTCTTTACTCGTATCGGCTGTCGCTGCGGAGCAACTGACGTTGGTTGGGGTGTCTGCTGCTGCGCAAGCGCTAGCTGCGACTCCGAGTGCGGCTGTGGCGTCGCTGTCTGTGGCTGCGCCGCGCGAGTGCCCCCATCCGCTGCAGACAACGTCCACGAGCCCCAGGTTTCATCATCATCGGCAGCAGCAGCATGCGGCGGGAGCGCTTGCACATCGGCAACGGCCGCCGAAGCCGGCGCCGACGCGGGGTCCAGCGCCGCCTCATCACCCATGCGTCGCTACTCTCGCCGGGGCCGAAAAAAGGCGCTCCTCATGAGCTGCGCAGTGGAGCCGCAACGGTTTCGGCATTGGGGAATTCTGAAGGGGGACCTGCGTCGGGCATGGCATCGCGACGCCCCAGCGCTCGTCGCGCGGAAGAGAAAAATATATTTTAACCCCCCCAAAAAACGCGTGTTTTTTTTATACTGGCGTCGCAGAGTCCACCGCCGATCGCTGAGACCTCCGCACGCTGCGAGATCATTCTCGCGCCCCCCCCCCCCCCCCCCCACGCACGCACACACACACCACACACACACACACACACACACACACACACACACACACACACACACACACACACACACACACACACACACACACACACACACACACACACACACACACACACACACACACACACACACACACACACACACACACACGACCCATGGAAGAAGATCACTCTCCAACACAGGCCGCGAGGCGCGATTATCCTGGCGCAACCTTCGAGTGGACTGCGGGGGCGACCCTGCCATCGGTATTTGAAGACACAACAACGCTGGAACAATCCTGAACGGCCGTTGGGGTGTGGACTTCTTCTGGGATTGATCCTCACCCTGTCCACGCTCGCCCACGGGCCTCCAGAGATACAGCCTTCGAGGAGGCACTCGCGTTGGCGGGGGAAAACCGCGCGTGGATTTATACTAGCCAGCACATAATTCCGTACACGCGCGGGCCTCGCCGCCGCCCATCGGCGAAGTGCGATGTTGACCTGCGCAGCAAGACGTTGCACTAGATGTTCGACAAGGCTACAATCAGGAAGCATACGAGGGGGGCGCCCATACGTTTTCCTGCGATGTGGGGGGGGCGCCCCTGTATCATCTAGATGTACAAAAGTGACGCTGCACACGCAAAAAAATGGAAGTCTGCTCGTGGAGCGGCAACAGCCACCAACCACTGGCCGAACGCCTGCCACCACTGACCCGCTACAACAACCCCTCACTCATCCGTTGCGCCGTCGCCATCCCCCCCCCCCCCCCCCGCCCCATGACCCATGCAATAAGATCACTCTTCAACACATGCCGCGAGGCGCGATTATCCTGGCGCAACCTTGGAGTGGACTGCGGGGGCGACCCTGCCATCGGTATTTGAAGCCACAGCAACACTGGAACAAACGGCAAGAAGCACACGGTTTTCCTGGGGCGCGGGAAAGGGAGCCTCGTTGCCAAAGGAGCAGCCGCCGCGCGAAACGCGCCCTTCCTCGCGCCCTTGGAACAGCCGCATGCAAAACACATTGCCGACCCAGACCGCAAGACACGATTCTCGTGGAGCAACTTTTGATATATTGCGGAACGGCCGCTGGCATCGAAACTTCATGTCACAGTGAAACCCAAACATCCCAACGAAACTCGCATGAACGGTCTTGTCGGAGGAAGCCCTGGCTGCCAAAGGATCTTGCGCCGAATGAGCGCGACCATCCTCAAGCCCCTACCACGACCGCATAAAGAGTGCACGCTCACCACCAGACCGCAAAGCGCGATTATCCCTCGCACGACAATTGGGTTTGGACTTTTTTTGATCTGGTCTCGATCTGTCCAAAGCCTCCAACGCGCCTCCGAGGATGAAACCCTCCAAGAGGCACCGCCGTTGGTCCGGAGGACAAACACTTGGCTTCAGAACCTCCACCCTGCGCGGTGGGACGTCCGCACGCTGCGAGATCCTCCTCGCAGGGCTTTCGTCGGAGTCCTCCTACTATGTTGCGGCTCAAAGAAGCAGAATCTGCATCACGAACCGCTCATCCTTTTTCTGAACCACCTCATGCCTCCTCCTTTCCCCATACTTGCGTCGCAGCAAATCAACTCGCCGTTGTTGATTCCGTGCACGCGTGAACCTCGCCGCAATGCGTCGGCGACGTCCGATCCGTACCTGCGCTTCAAAGACGTTGCACAGTATCTTCGGGAAAGAAACCCACGAGCCAGCAGGTAAGGGGGACACCCTTACGTATGTATACATATATATGTATATATATATGTATATATATATATATATGCGTATATACATGCACACATATGTATACATATCTGTGTATATATATATATACATATACTTGCGTTGCGGGGGGGCGCCCCTGTATCATCTGGATTATATATGTACATGTCTGGCACACGCAAACACTAATTGAGATCTGCTCGTGACCGCTGTCGCTGGCGCCTCATCATCATCCGCTGTCACTGGCGCCGAATGAACACACCACGAGCCAATTCTTGAGCCCAAAGACACGCTGTCGAATGGCACCACGCAATGCCACCTCTGTGCACGCATGTCTGCCCATGTTATGTACGCGTGTGTGTACCATATACGATTGCATGTTCTGTATATATACACATATGTATATATACACACGATCATTAGTACATACAAACGTACAAAGTTGCTGAGGGTGGACCTGATGCGAGGCCGGAGCAAGCGGCGGCAATTTGGCGCGGCGACATGAGGGGGCAGCGCACAAGATAAAGGCACCGCGCGAGATAGCGAGAGCCAGGTTGTTAATGCTGCACGACCCCCCCCCACCCAAGGCCTTCCCAGATATCCCAAGGGGGCGGCGGTGTGGCGTAAGCCCATGAATCTATCCAGATCCACCGCCTGTGGAACCGACGTCCTGGGACTCCAGCGGGCGGTGGACATGGGTACAGTTCGGTCATAAAGGGACCTTCAATATATTCATGCCCACCGCCTGCCGAGTCCCCGAAGATCGATCCCTCAGGCGGTGGTGATGGATAAGTTTCCGCCTCGGAACAGAGTGAAGAGGTCGGATGGAAGCACACCTGCAGATCGAGAATACATCAGGCAGGCAGCGAGTCTTGCAGAGATACTATGCCTGCCCCTCTCCCTCCAGTCCACCCACGGCCCCTCTTCTCGGACACGCTCCTGCCACATCGAGCCCGTCCCGTTTGCCGCCAAGTATGAACCGTCACGCATCCAGACAGGCCTGTTCCCCCGGCGTGAAGGGGTACCTGCGGCCCTGCAACGCGCCCTTGGTGAGCGCGACTTCTTGGCGGGGCCTGTTTTGCCCGCCGAGACAGGTGATGCGGCCGCGTCCTCTGCGGGGTCAGTGCGCTTCCCTCCGTCTGGAGGGTCGTAGGCTGGCTTGCGCAGGCCGGGGTGATTGCCTGTTCCAGCAGGTGGACTCCCTGGTTCGGGCGGTCGTTTCGCTTTTCCTCCCCTTTTCTCTCTCTCTCTCTCTCTCTCTCTCTCGCGCACGCCTCCGTGCTTGGTCAAAAGGTCCAAAAAAGTTCCTCCTCCTCCTCCTCCTCCTCCTCTTCCTCCTCCTCCTCCTCCTCCTCCTCATCTCCCCATCCTCTTACTAATATTATAGTGTTGTGCTTATGCGTTTCATGCCTATGATTACTAGTTTTACGCGTATAATATTCGTATTAGTAGTCATGTCTGAGTGTTCTTAGTACTCTTCGTATGCGTACTGGTATTATTATTGGTATTGCCATCAGTCTTCCTATTAGTACTCGTATTAGTAGTATGCTTAACCGTAGTCTTAGTAGTAATAAAAGCGGTCGTGTTCTTAGCTTTCTTCTAATTAATATTAGTATTAGTCTCCTTACTCACATTCGCATGTTCTATAACTGACTTTATTAATATTGCTCTTCGTCTTAATAGTACGAGTCGTCTTAGTAGTATAAGTGCTAGTATTAACCGTCGTCCTCGTATTCTGCTTAGTGATTCGTATCATGCGTCGTCGTATTGCTCTGCGTCGCATTAGCCTTCGTCTTTGCATTAGTATAGTTGGTAGTAGTCTTCGAATTCATACGATTCGCAGCCTTAGTAGTGTTAGTAGTATACGTCGTGCCAGTTGTATTATGTTGTTCGTGTTACTGTGATTCGTAATATGCACATTATCATGCGTAGCAATCGTGTCATTGGTCTAAGTTGCCCTGTTGATGCTATCAGTATTAGTCTTGTTAATATTAGAATGCTCCGTATTATCGTTCTTCTCCTTCTTCTCCTTCCTCCTCCTCCTCCCTCCTTCCTCCTTCCTCCTTCCTCCTTTTTCTGTTTTCCTCCTCCTCCTCCTCCTCATGCTCCTCCTCCTCCTCCTCCTCCTCCTCCTGCTCCTCCTCCTCTCCGTCCCCCTCCCCCTCCTCCTCCTCCTCCTCCTCGAACCTCCTCCTCCTCTCCTCCTCCTCCTCCTCCTCCTCCTCCTCCTCCTCCTGCTCATCCTCCCCCTCCCCCTACCCCTCCCCCTCCCCTTCCCCTTCCCCCCTCCCCCTCCTCCTCCTCCTCCTCCTCCTCCGCCTCCTCCGCCTCCTCCTCCTCCTCCTCCGCCTCCTCCTCATCATCATCCTCCTCCTCCTCCGCCTCCCCCACGCCCTCTGCATATACATACAAAGATGCACATGTAGGAAATTCCGCATCAAATAGTCCCCCCAACTCCACAAGACTACGCACGTCCGAAGTGCCCACACATGCACAATAAGCCGACAAAAAAAGGAAAGAGGATAGGGGCAAGAATAAGGCAACGAGAATCAGGGAGGAGCAACGCGACGCCAGACTCAACTCTCGTCGAATGCATCCTCCTCCTCCTCCTCCTCCTCCTCCTCCTCCTCCTCCTAGACGCTGACGACCACGTTGATGCTGACGACGACGTTGGCGCTGACGACGAGGACGACAACCTCGGGAAGTCTCCTGGCACCGGTTGATGTCCTTGACAGACTTGCCGGCTTTCGGCGACTGGGCACACGGCAAGCGGGGGAGAGCCAGCGGGTGAGGAAGAGGGGAAAGGAGAGGGAAGGAGGGAGTGAGAGAGGGAGCGAGAGGAGAAGAGTGAGGGAAAGGGGGAGGGAGGGGAAGAGGGAGGGAGGGAGGGAGGGGGGAAAGGGAGGGAGGGAGGGGAGGGAGGGAGGGAGAGGGGGGGGGAGGGAGAGGGAAGGCGAGAGGGAGCGATGAGAGAGGAGGAGAAAGGGGGAGGGAGGGATGGAGGGAGGAATGAGAGACGGCGAAAGACGAAGAAGTGACGAGGGAGGCGGACATAAGAACAAGAAACGAGGGACGAGGAAGGAGGGAAGAGGGAAGGGAGGAGGGGAGGAAGGAGACACAACGAACACGAGGAGGGGAGGGAGGAGCAGAGGAAGGAGGGAGGAGGGGAGGGAGAGTGGGGGAACAAGAGCAAGAGCGAATCAAGAAAGACGAACAACGGCCACCAAGTCCAGCTGCAACCACGCGCCATAACAGGAGCACGCTTCTGACAGCGACAACTACGGCTGGCTCTACTTCCCCAACAGATGCGCGGACAATACTGCTGGACCAACACCTTAACCTTTCACCGCACTGCCAGCCAACACCGTCACGGGATCTGACGGCCCGTTCTCGGACATCAGACCCAATTAACACACACGCACACACACAAACAAACAAACAAACAAACAAAAAACAAACTGACGTGCCTCCCCCAAACCACCGATGCCAGACATCTCGACCCCTTCCTGGGGAAGCGCGCGCATCCCGGATAGTGTTCATGTCCGATTGGATTTCGGACGGCGCTGAACCCACCTACAGACCTGAGAGTAAGATAGACAGGAGTCTAGACCTACAGAATGGCAGGAAACTCTTCGCTATCAAAAGTATGTTTCAGATGTCTCATCGTATTGTCAACCACAACCTCAGATGATAGTCACGTTGCATGTTCCGATCGTGTCGTCCTCTTCCCTGCACGCGGGGGAGCCCCTCCTCCTCCTCCTCCTCCTCCTCCTCGTCCTCGTCCTGCTCCTCATCCCTCCCTCCGAACTCGGCCCTTCACGAGGCCTTTCGGCGAGTGCTCGATGAGGAAGTGTGTTCTGCTCTTGCCATCCCGTATGGTCACAGTTTGGTCGATATCAGTTCATTATATGACACCATGTACTGGCTCAAATTGGCACGGGCAGCTATCAGATTGGAATTCCCGCCTACTGTACTACTACTCGAACTTTCTCAGTGTGCGGCGCCACGCACGCTTAGTCAGCTGAATGCGTTCTCGCAGCCCTTCGAGCCCACCCAGAGCATCATTCAGGGGCTCAGGTCGGGAACAAGGCTGGCGAGGGTCATGACTTATTACGTTCTGCAGCGCATCAGCACCGTGCAGGTGCGCTGCAGTCACCGATTGTGGATAGACGACCTGTCGCAGGCCACCAAAGGCTCGCGAGAGGAAGTTCGATCGAATCTTATCAAGTGTATTTCGGCCACGGCAGCTGGATTACGAACTCAGCGGCTGTCGATTGGGCTTCGGGTGGATTCCGCAGACCCCCACGTCGTGGGAGCCACCTGGAGATTTCAAATGGGAGTTTCCCGATGAGAATTTCACTGGCATTCCAGCGCTCGATCGTTTCAAGGAGTTCATCGAGGAAGTGAAGGTAGCTGCTATGGTTCCCTTTTGGCGCCAGGCTGAGTTGCACTACGACGGGGACGGCCTGGGGCAGGGGATCGACGGGTACTCCCTCCGACGGTTGCTCAAGCAGCTTCGGGGAGTGCGACCTGGGGGGCCCCGTCTTGCAGGTCTGCTCTTGAACATCGCGATGGGAGCTGCCTGGCCCAAGGCTAGGAAGATGGATCAGTTGAAGTCTCCAGGGCGTGAGTGTCCAGTGTCTTACAGTGCTGGCCACTCGGGCTCTGCTTCAGCTGATACGAGGAGCCCCGATGTTCTTCAGCAGTCGACGGCGCCACGAGCGCCACCTGTGCTGACCAACATGGACGACGACCACGATCCGTTTGCCGATATCGAGGTGAGCGCAGACGAGGGCCAGTTGTTTCGGAATGGGTCTGCTGGTACAGTATTGCGAGCTGGTCACTCTGGCAATCATTTTGATTTGAACTGCGACCGCTGTGGCGAAGGACCTGAGACATCCTATCACCGATATTGGAGCTGTTCTCATAACAGGGGTGCGGTCGCTTACCTCAGCAGTGAGAGCCTCGAGGGGCAAGCCAGAACGCAGCATGAGATGCACGAGTTTTTGGCACAGAGGGCTCATACCTGCGGCCTGGACCAGGACCCCAGATCCGCCGCAGGAGCATACTTGGACATATGGTGGTTTGAATGACGGCGTGTTCGAGGGCTGCTTGCCCATGGGCACGGAGGCAGATCCCACGATCATATTCGGCGATGCAAGTGGTGGCCCAGATACAGCAGACAGCAGATTACGACGTGTGGCCCTTGGAGTTGCCACAATGGCCGACTACACCAACCCGCAAGTGGAGTGCTTCATCACTGGACCGCTGACGGGAAACCGCCAGGTGGTAGCTCGGGGCGAACTCCGTGGCCTCTGGCTTGCCATCTGGGCCAATCAGGGCCCCATTGTGTACGTGACGGATTGCGAAAACGTGTTCAAAGGATGGATGTCCAAGGCGTATGTGCATCACAAAGGAGAGGACGGTGACGAATGGGCTCGCATAGGGCAGTTACTTGATCATCGTTCCCCAGACTTGATTCGGGTCAGATTCGTGAATTCACATCTCAACGCAGAAGATATTCTTGATCAGCGTGCTGAGTCGTGGCTAGTGGTTGGCAATACCATCATCGATGAGCTGGTGAAGGACGCGGCCATCTCTGCTCGGCTTCCAGTTGCTGTGCGGCATGAAGTGCTACTAGCCGGCCGCTCTGCGGTTGATCGGGAGTTTCTGTATATAGAAGAAGGTGCGTGCGCTTGTTGGCGAGGGTGAGGATGAGGTTCCTCCTCCTCGTCCTCCTCCTCCTCCTCCTCCTCCTCCTCCTCCTCCTCCTCCTCCATCCTTCTCTTGCCTCCGTCTGTCCTCCTCCACCCCACAGCTCCATCATCTTCTCCTCCTCCTCCTCCTCCTCCTCCTCCTCCTCCTCCTCCTCCTCCTCCTCATTCCTCCTCTGGGCACCTCCCCCGGGGCGCGGATCCACCGGATCTGTCCGGATCTGTCCGGAAACGGTGCCGGATGCCGCTCTGGGCTCCTCTGGGCACCTCCCCCGGGGCCGGTTTTGTGAGGATGTCTCAAGCGAGGGCGCCGGTTTGGGATTCGTCGGCGGATCCACCGGATCCACCGGATCTGTCCGGAAACGGTGCCGGAGGCCGCTCTGGGCTCCTCTGGGCACCTCCCCCGGGGCCGGTTTTGTGAGGATGTCTCAAGCGAGGGCGCCGGTTTGGGATTCGTCACCGGATCGGATCCACCGGATCTGTCCGGAAACTGTGCCGGAGGCCGCTCTGGGCTCCTCTGGGCACCTCCCCCGGGGCCGGTTTTGTGAGGATGTCTCAAGCGAGGGCGCCGGTTTGGGATTCGTCGGATCGGGATCCAGCGGATCCAGCGGATCTGTCCGGAAACGGTGCCGGAGGCCGCTCTGGGCTCCTCTGGGCACCTCCCCCGGGGCCGGTTTTGCGAGGATGTCTAGGCGAGGGCGCCGGTTTGGGATTCGTCACCGGATCCAGGGATCTCCGTCCGGAAACGGTGCCGGAGGCCGCTCTGGGCTCCTCTGGGCATCCTCCCCCGGGGCCGGTTTTGTGAGGATGTCTCAAGCGAGGGCGCCGGTTTGGGATTCGTCACCGGATCCAGCGGATCCAGCGGATCCGTCCGGAAACGTTGCCGGAGGCCGCTCTGGGCTCCTCTGGGCACCCCCCCGGGGCCGTTTTGTGAGGATGTCTCAGGCGAGGGCGCCGGTTTGGGATTCGTCACCGGATCCAGCGGATCCAGCGGATCCGTCCGGAAACGGTGCCGGAGGCCGCTCTGGGCTCCTCTGGGCATCCCCCCCGGGGCCCGTTTTGTGAGGATGTCTCAGGCGAGGGCGCCAGTTTGGGATTCGTCACCGGATCCAGCGGATCCAGCGGATCCGTCCGGAAACGGTGCCGGAGGCCGCTCTGGGCTCCTCTGGGCATCCCCCCCAGGGCCCGTTTTGTGAGGATGTCTCAGGCGAGGGCGCCGGTTTGGGATTCGTCACCGGATCCAGCGGATCCAGCGGATCCGTCCGGAAACGGTGCCGGAGGCCGCTCTGGGCTCCTCTGGGCATCCCCCCCGGGGCCCGTTTTGTGAGGATGTCTCAGGCGAGGGCGCCGGTTTGGGATTCGCCACCGGATCCAGCGGATCCAGCCGATCCAGCGGATCCGTCCGGAAACGGTGCCGGAGGCCGCTCTGGGCTCCTCTGGGCATCCCCCCCGGGGCCCGTTTTGTGAGGACGTCTCAGGCGAGGGCGCCGGTTTGGGATTCGTCACAGGATCCAACGGATCCAGCCGATCCAGCGGATCCGTCCGGAAACGGTGCCGGAGGCCGCTCTGGGCTCCTCTGGGCATCCCCCCCGGGGCCCGTTTTGTGAGGATGTCTCAGGCGAGGGCGCCGGTTTGGGATTCGTCACCGGATCCAGCGGATCCAGCGGATCCGTCCGGAAACGGTGCCGGAGGCCGCTCTGGGCTCCTCTGGGCATCCCCCCCGGGGCCCGTTTTGTGAGGATGTCTCAGGCGAGGGCGCCGGTTTGGGATTCGTCACCGGATCCAGCGGATCCAGCGGATCCAGCGGATCCAGCGGATCCGTCCGGAAACGGTGCCGGAGGCCGCTCTGGGCTCCTCTGGGCATCCCCCCCGGGGCCCGTTTTGTGAGGATGTCTCAGGCGAGGGCGCCGGTTTGGGATTCGTCACCGGATCCAGCGGATCCAGCGGATCCAGCGGATCCGTCCGGAAACGGTGCCGGAGGCCGCTCTGGGCTCCTCTGGGCATCCCCCCCGGGGCCCGTTTTGTGAGGATGTCTCAGGCG